GATGCAACATACAAATATTTGGTATTTAGCCTATACTGCTGAACGCAGAATATTCTTTTCGGACGAATAAAGAAAGAAGCGTCTGCGGAAGAAAAAATTTAGTTTGTTTACATCTGTCTTTCTCCCCTCCCCCCTTCCTGGGAGGTGTTTATTGATTAACAAAACAATAATGAAGATAAACAAATTTGTGAAGGGTCTGATTAAAAGATAAATTATTTTGTGAAGGGTCCGTTTTTAAATTAAATTATTTTGTGAAGTGTCTTTTTTTATGAAAAGATATTTTGTGAAAAATATTTCTTCTAAACAGACCCCTGCTTACTATTCCTTTTTCTTTTTTTTTTAATTATTATTTTTTTAAATTTATGAATTATTCTCTGCTTTAATATTGTATTTTATGTTTTAAAATGTTAGAAAAAATTGTGTTTAGAGAAAAAGGTTTAGTCAACGAAAGTCACTTGTTTTAAATTTACTGATATTTTTTTAAAAAATTGGTTTTAATCAACTTATTTTTATATGAAATATAATACCATTTTTATTTATTGATTTTCATAGTTATATTTTAAAAAATTTTGTTAACACCTATATTGTTGTAGTAATAAGTTTTAATTACCAAAATTACATCAACTATATCTGGTGTGTAATAAATAACACTTTTGAAATTACTTTTTATATTATTCTTACTGATTTTTCAGTAGTTTTTGACTAATGGATTTTTTCATAAAAAAGCAAAACGGTAGGAAAAATCATCTAAAATCAGATTTTTTTAAAAAAAAATCACATAACTGAATTCTAGGTAATATTGTAGAATTTTTGTATAAGAAATTTCAATGTGGGAAAAATAGTTTTTATATATCTTACTCTTTACCATGCTTTTAAGTGTCTATTTTGTGCTATAGATAAAATATTTGTTAATTCTTCCATTGTCATATAACGGTTACCAATTTAAAAAATATAGGTTTATTTTTATTGAGCCATTTTATAAAAAATGATATAATTTTTAAAAAATTATTTTGTTCTTTATTAAGTATATTTCTCTTTGTTATTTCTGCTCTAATGAAGTGTCATAAGTAATGCCCAATAAGAACTACATTGTCCTTAAGTCTGAAAGTTATGATTACAAGTTGCTTTTGAAATGTAGTCACTACTTCACTGCATTTAAGGGATGGACTTTACTGGAGAACTTAATTTATGTCCGTGTTCAAAAGGATTTCGACGAATAAATTGGCTTGAAAAATTATTAGGTTAAAACATTCCTGCAACAGCGCTTTGTGGGCTTAGTCTCCACAAATTTCACAGTAAACAACATGATTATGGCAATCTGGTCAACAATGCGCCTAGGCCGCCTTTACTTCCCAGGCAAGCTGGTACTCAGTGATTTGTATAGGCAATTTTTTAATAGTTAAAGATGAAGAACTCTAAAAATTATGGTTTTTATGTTTTATTAAAATTATTAACACTTAGAAATTTGATCTTGATATTAATAATTTTAATTTGTGTTTTGTAAAATAATTATTAATTTTAAAAATCTTCTTTTTACCTTAAAGTTATGCTCTGGCAATTCAGCTGCCTTTTGTTTAAACATAATTGACAAACTTTTCATAAATTTAAGGTTAGAATAAACATACATGCCATTTTTATTAATTTCTTTTTTAATTTGTCAAAAATGCACTTTAATTTCTGGCATGTATTACTGCTTAATTTTAAAAAATTTTTAAGCCTGATGTAATAGAAGGGCTATGTCAGTGGTTGGATTTTAGTGGCTCTGTCTAGGTGAACCAATTATATTTAAATTTCTTTCTGTGAAACATGCTGAAATTTTGAGACAGAAATACGGAGAAATTTATGTAAATTGCAATTACAATTGTAAATTATTATATACCTCTAATTACTTAACATTGAAAACTTATTGTGTTGTCCTAATGATTGTATTGTATTAATATAAAAAGTATGTAAGACAAGATATCACATTGTTCTAATTTAGAAATTTTATTAACTTCTTAATTGAACTCAATTAAATTGATTTTTGGAAGCCCTAAATTTTCGATGTTTAGTACAGTACAAGACCCGTTATCCGGAAATCAGAAAACCGGAACGAAATTCGATAATTTCCCCCCCATTTTTTTTAAAAAAAAAATTTTTTTTTTTTCCTCATAAGATTTTAGGAATTTTCTTTCTTTTTTGAAAGATGTTTACCTTACCATCATTTTGGAAATGATCATTAGTGTATTAATTCATCATTTTTTCTTCTTTTTAAGATTATTTGCAAATATTTTTTTTTTAGTTGGGTTTAACAACAACAAAAAACGGCTTTTTGTAGCGATTCAGAAAACCGGAAAAATCGGTTCCCTACTGTACAATCGTCCTGTTCACTACCCCTTAAAGACCATCTACTGTGCAATATATATCTAAATTGATCTTAGAATAAACAGATACATTCAAATTGCTTTTAAAAATGCCCTGTACACTGTTATTTATTTTTGACTTAAAATTTCAATAATTATTTTGAAATATCCTGTGACAAAGATCTCTTGAATCTTGTCACTTTACAATCATGCTCATTCATTATGCCACTGATTGATCACAATTTTTTTTTATTTGTAATAAACCTATTAATCATATTTATATTCTAGTGGTTATATCAATTGTAATTAAAGCTGCTAAAATTTGTGATGGTGCTAGGACAGTTAAATCCTTGCCTTAACATTTAATACTTTATTTTATTTTTATTAAAAAATATTTTTTTATTGTTAACCAAGAATAGGTAACACCTAGTTATATTTTGAGGTTTCAATTTTTTTTACAACTAGTGCATTTCCACTTCATTTTGATGTTCATTAGGAAATTTTTATTAACTTATGTAGAAATGAACAATGTATGTTTTCATTTTTATGTGCTCATTAAAACATTTGCTTGTTATAGTACTTATTAGCTTTTTATCAATAAATATATTTTAAAATGAATGTTTTTAGTCTATTGAAGTTCCTGATGAAAGTTACTAATTTGCAACTAAACTTACGGAAAAGTACACAGTACACCTCATAAATAAAATTCATATTTTTGTTTTTAATGAAAAATTTTTAAAAACATTTTAGTCGTTTTAATATTATCATAATAGCTTAGATGAATTTTAGAAATTTGAACAGTCAATATGCAAGATGGACAAATCTGATCTAAGGTTTTGTTTGCTTTTATAAAATAAGTTCATTTTGGTAATAATATCTTGAGTTCAACTAAGACAAATGGCCAGTTAACAAGGATTGTCAACCTGACAGGTTTCACTATAATATTAAAAAATTTTTGTAAGAAGCTTTACCTATTGAAATGCAATATTAATACCATTGTAAGATTGCTTTAATGCAGAGCATATTTTAGGTTACAAAAAACAGGTGCAAGAACATACTTTCTTTCTGCAATTTTGGATTTTTGTCCTGCAAAATATATTGGAGCCAAACGCTGCAGTTCCAATTTTATGTACATGAGCTCAAATTTTGGACTCTTCTTCATTTCCCTTTTGGCATATTGTACCAAATCTTGCAAATCAGAAACTTTTTGCCCACAACTCTAAAGCTTATTAATCCAATATCTAAAGATAAATTGGTGCAAAAAATAGAATGTTTTGTTATTGAATAAAAATAGTCAAAATGTTTTTGAATTGTAACGGTTTATAAATTTTTGCCCCATTTTAAACAGTGCTCCACCATATAGTTTCTTAACATGAAGTTATTAATTTTTTTTTTAAAAATCGTACTTTGAAATTTTTTAGTAGCTATTTGGCTCATTTTGGGTTTTTTAAATTATATTTAACTTTGTATACCTTATAATTCATAAATTTTATGTTATATAATAAAAATACTTTTTCACTTTGAATTATATTAAGATAAACAAATTTTGTTAAAAGTGTAGAAAATATTTTTTTTAAACAGTTCCGGAGAAATACACAAAAAGTTCCATTATTTTTTAAGGAATCCAAACTTTTACCCACTCTCCTGACTGAAATCAGACCATACATTGCAGATTTCTGCTACCTCGATATTTTGAGGGTAAAAAAATCTAAATATGGGATGAAAACTGAATGTTTTTCTTGTTTGATTTGATAACAAAATATTGTCTACTTAAATTAGTTTGCCTGTTAAAGGCTTGGCAAAGAGGTTGCAACTTAAGGTATGTGCACTGCATATTTTTTTAGAATTTGAAAGAGCAGTTTTTAGTGCAAATGAGTTGTTGAGAGGAAAGCTGAGTTCATCTGCCTTTGTGCAAAACAACCAACCCATTAAGATTGCATCCGACTATGTATTATAAATCCTATCACTAGAAGATCAAAAATGTTTGAGCTATTTCAATTTTTTCCTATGCATTGTAAATAGATTATTACATTACAATCGAAGATTTGTAACGCAATTACCCCTACAATTATTAAATTCCAATTCACTAGTATGTAAGACATGTTAACTCCATTCTATCTGGAGATATCTTTTGATAGATGAAGATTGACATTGTCGACAGCATACTCCCACACTGGTGACCCGAACGTGATTTGAACACACCAGCTTACCTTAACAGAAAGGCCCATTGATATGAATGTGCCCAGTTTAACGGATGGAACACAGTGAATAGTTGATTTGTGACTGTGAGATTGTCCTCTTCACGCTGTTGCTACTCAGTCTGGATCACACTCAATGGGGGTCTGTGCGTACTTGACTGCAAATAGCAACACTGGAGCGACCATGATCCTAATACAGATCTCGCAGCAGGAAAGACTGGCAGTAAAAAAAAATTTGTTTGCCAAAAGGATATTTCTTTTGTTACCTTCCACTTTAGCTTTAAAAAGACACCATGAGAAGACGCATTGATTTCCGACCAAAATGTAAATATTTATATCATTAACATTTTATGGTGGACTCAATTATTTTGTTTCTGCAAAATGAATTTTAATAATGAAGCACTTGTGCTGCCACTTTTGTATTTTTTTATGAAAAGGACGACCATTTAAAAAAGTTTATAGCCATAAGAGATTAACTTTTTTTCATCAACGAGTGTCAGATTCTTGATGGTCTTTACTTGTATCCCAAAGATTTTGAAATTTTTTAAATTATTATAGCTTTTAATTCAAGCTTTTTGTTTTCTGTTAATCGTGACAGTTGTCTTGTGTTTAATTAATTTGAATCTAAAATTTAAAGTTTCCTTTTTTATTATAAATTTTTCTTAAATCTGGGATAAATTGCAGTTATAATTATGAAAACAAGTGTTGACATATAAAATTATCATTTTTAGACTTATTGGAAATTTTATTTTTTGTGATAATTTATAAAATTTATCTTTTTAGCTTGTTCAAGTCCAAAATGATTCCTGCAATCTATAATCGTTACCATTTGGAACCTATCAGACTTTCAATGCTATTCTTACACTATTCTGAAATGAAGGTTTTATGATAATTTTACCAGGTGATATATCTTAATCATTTACTTTTAATAAATTAAAATATGGAGCATGAAGGCATTCAAGACTTCTCAAAAATTAGCCATCAAGCAATGGCTGGTGCCATAACTGGTTTAGTTGAATATTCAGTTATGTATCCCATAGATTTAATAAAAACACGCATGCAGACGCTAAGACCCTATTCAAAGGCAAATTATAAAAGTGTTTTTGGTGGCTTATTAAAGATCAACTCAGAAGAAGGAATGCTTAGATTATTCAGAGGCATGCCGTTGCCATTAGTAGCATCCATTCCTGCCCATGCATTATATTATTCCACGTATGAAGTAATGAAAAGAATGCTAAGTGGTACTGAATTCGGAACTAAAAATCCTATAGCCCAAAGTGCTGCTGGAGCTCTTGCTATAACAAATCATAATATAGTTATGAATCCGGCTGATGTCGTCAAGCAGCGCATGCAAATTTATGGTAGTCCATATAAATCTAGTTTCCATTGTTTGAAATCTATATTGAAGTCTGAAGGTGTGATTGCTTTATACCGCAGTCTCCCCACTCAGATGGCTATTGATGCTCCTTATGGTGCTCTGCACTTTGTGATATATGAAACAATCCAAAACTTTCTGAATCCATCTAGAGCTTTTGATGCAAAGAGTCATATTTTGTCTGGAGCCATTGCTGGTGGTTTTGCAGCTGCTGCTACCACGCCACTCGATGTCTGCAGAACTTTATTGAACACTCAAGAAGGAGCGGTCCTGGGTGAAGCTGAACGAAATAAGATTCGAGGTCTGTTCCCTGCTCTGGTGACTGTATACAAAATGCAAGGTTTGAAAGGCTTTACTAGGGGAATGAAAGCTCGTGTTATGCACCATGTACCTTCAACTGCCATCTGTTGGTGTGTTTATGAATTTTTTAAGCACTATTTTTCTGAAAAGGGTAACTAGAGTTACAGCTGCTATGTAAAATGTTATATGAGCTTTTGAAAGTTAAATATTTTAGGGGAACATTTTGTTGTAAAAGCATTTCCTAATACATTGAGCATGCAAATTGTTAAAATTTATAAAAAATTTCAGCATATCAAACTTTATTAAAATTTAAATATTATATTTGTGAATGTTTAAATGTTGCTTATTGTGCTTGTTTTTTGTTGATTTCTTTAGGTTAATATTTCTATAATAAAATATTTATTTTTAGATCTAGTCTCTTTATGTAATTATTTACGTGCAAAGTCTTTTAATTCTGTTTGAAATTTTATTTTTAAGTTATAAAGTAGTTGTAGTACTTAAATTTCTTCATTTTTTAAAATTAGCTTCTTGTTTATTTATGTCCTTATGTCTAAAAGACACCTTAAAAAATTAAGATAAAGAACAGGATTGCAGATTACTGCTAAGCACAGTAGCGTGACAAATTATACACATAATATAAGAAATACTTATTGTAAAGACAGGTTAGTGCTACAGTTATTATTATTTTTTTAAATATAAAAATTTTAAAGAATGATAGTAGGAATGTTCATTTTTTTTATGATCAAAGATGCGGCTAATATTTTTAATATTGGCATAGTAAGTAAAGATTTATTTTGAGAAAGAAACTGATATTCCCCCCTTTATTAATATATTTTTGTCATAAAATTTGACACATTGTTGAAATGATTTGGCTTTTTTTTCCTCTTAGTATTTTTAAAAAATATGCATAATTAAAATCCTTTTTATCAATTTTTAAATTATTTTTTTTTTTAAATAATTTATTAGTAAAGCATATATATAAATGCTAGGGCTCAAAATACATAGTGATCTAGGAGCACTAATGTCTAACTCATTCCAATATGAAATGTTATGTAGGGGGGGAAATTATTATTTTTACGTGAATTTCAAGAATTTATTTAACATGCTTTTATTACCATTTTTGGTCAAATAAGCACTGTTTTGTTGTTAAGTTTGCTACCCTTGTAAAGGTATAATGCCTGTCTCATAGAAGTCTTTGTCCCTATTAGCAAAAAACTTTAATCGATTTTTACAATGCTCACTTGATGCCAATTTCTTAGCACTAAGGAAGTTTTTGAGATGATAATCGCTTGGTGACTGATCCAGACTGTATGGTGGATGCATCAAAACTTCCCAACCAAGCTCTCGAAGTTTTTGGCCCGTCACTTAAGATATGTGTATCTTAGAATTGTCCTGGTGGAACACAACATCTCCTATTGGTCAATTCTGGTAGTTTCTGGTCAATCGCTAGCTTCAAATGGTCCAGTTGTTGTCAGTTGAGAAGTGAATTTAGTCCTTGGCCGTATGGAGGCAGCTCATATTAAATTGTTTGTTCCTTTCCGGTCCCACCAAATGTACAGCAGAACCTTCCAGCCCGTTAGTCCTGGTTTGGACACCGTTTAAACTAGTTTTCGCACAATGTTGGCGTATGTGACCCATTTCTCATCCGCAGTTTAAATTTTTGCCTTTATCAAAGTTAACCTATGAAATGTACCAAATTGTTTTTCTGAGGAGATGAGTTTGCTGATTTGGTTTGTTTAGTCTATGTGTATGTCACGAAATAGTGTATTTCATCGTAATTGTAATTAATATACTTTCTCTAATTTTTTTTATCGAATTTCATTTCAATAACTTTTGTTTTATCGAATATTCATCATAATGGTGTGTTTATGGTTATTATGTTATTAAACTCAATGATTAAAATATAATGCTAAAGTTTTGACTTCTATGATATTTATTTAAAGAAAATTTATGCAGGAATGGGATTAGACGTATGAAAGTGTTTACAGAACAGTGAAATCTTTTTGTTACTGGTCTTATGGATCATGGACTAAATTATCTATGGACTAATTTCTATCCCTGTATGGACTAATTTCTATCCCTGTATCAGTATATAAACTTTACATTTTTGTTATACTTATGCTTTGGGGTAGTTGGTATGCTTTATACAAAAGATTTTCTTTAATTCTTATATTAGTAATTGTGTGAATTCTCTTTATATCTTTATACTCTTTGGGCAATTTATTTCATAAAGCTTTAAAATTCTTGTTGCATGTAAATTGCACCACTTTTTAAAAATTAAATTTATTTTAGATGTTGTTACAATAACTACATGACCTTTACCCCTATTAAACTGTCATGTAAATCATTGAAAATAACTTTTTAAGCAAATAAAATTTTTATGTTTAAGAACAAATTTTTATTTTTTAATATTGAATTTGAGGAATATATTTATTCAAAACACTATTTTTTTTCTTTTATGATTTGAAGGTTAGAACCTATTGCAACATAATCATCAGGTGCAGCATTCTCTATTTTCTTTTCTTTTTTTTTCCGTGCACAATATTTCAAAATATTTTCTATAACAATATATTCTGTGTGTTTGGCACAATAATATAAACAAGGCAGAGTTGGAAAATAACCAGTTTTTTTTTTATCTTTAAACCAGGTTTTTTTTAAAAAATTTTTTGTTCTATTTCTTTTTTTTTTAAAATCTATTTATTTAAAAGAAAAAATTAAATGACATATTTAGTCCCAAATTAAGAGTATTTAAACCATTAAAAAGTATTTTGCCGAAATCTTTTTAACTACTGATTAAAGTTTTGATAAGGAATAAAATGAACATGATACAAAAGCATAATAACTAAAAATCATGAATATCCATAACTCCACTTAAGGAGCAAATAAATATTTAATAACTAAATATTTTTTTAGTAGTGCATGTATATAAAAGTTTATCTCCTTAATTGTTAACAATAAAAATGTCGTAATACAACATTATATTAATATAATCATTTAGCATAATACAATTTGAAGTAGTAACATCAATTAATTATCTTAAAATAAACATTTCTTTAGTATTTATTGAATCAATAAAAATTTTAATATAATTGAGCGTGAGATATTCGAATTAAAATATTTTTCAATTAAAAAATGTTTAAGTTTATAGAGTGAGGAAAAGAAATGAAAAAGACAAATGAACTGCATAAATATAAAAAATATAATATTGTAAAGGTATGAGTTAGTACTAACAATTTAAAAAATAAAGATTTAATTACTATTTTTTCATTTATTTTAACATCATGATGGAACTTTTAATTTAACAATATTCTCATTAACATATTACAGCATTAAATAAATAAGACAAAACTATTTTAGATAAATTTATTGTTTTTTTTCACAGATTTTTTTAAAATTCATTATGAAGAATTTATTGAAAATTACAATAATGAATGTAATTATACTGCATATGCAAAATAAAAGTTTCTTTACTTCAGTGACCGAAATGATTCTAAAATTAAACTGAAAACAGTGAGTTATTTTCATTATACTTATTGTTAAACAATAGTGTTTTTCCACTGTCTTGGAAAAAATAAGGTTTCATCTGAATGGAATGTCAGCCTTGTTTAACATAAATATACATATGGTTATAAACATAAATATATTATATGGAAAACCATTTCTGCCTAAACATTTAAAAATTTCAGATTTATGTTTATTTGAAGTAATACAAATTACCGATGGCAATTAAACTCAAAATCGTAATCTTATTCGATTTTTTTTTTTTTTTTATCATTTTGTTACAATCAAACTGAAAGAATTTTTAAATTAGCAGAAAATTTAATTATATAAACAGGGTATCCGCGCGCCTAGTTATGAAAAATCATGGAAAGTCATGAATTTCGGTTTTGAACAAAATTTGTCATGATTTTAACTATTTTTTTTAAAGAAAATCATGGAAAGTCATGGATTTAGGTCGCCAAAAAATCTAATTTTTAAAATGGAATTTAAAAATACCCTCCCATTTCATGCTGTTCCGAATATCTGAATTTGTAATAAATTGTAATCCACATTAAATCCATTTTGTTAAAATGTAAAATGTTTTAAATGAAAGAAAAAACATCATTTCTAGAGCGAATTATCTTTTAAATTTCTGTGATTTCAAAATGTTGGTTATTATTTATTTTTGATTTTATCAACTTAAAATTCTAGCTGAAGCAAGCCAGTCATTGACGAATTTTTTAAAATTCCGAAATGAGAACAGAAAAATCAGGAGTATTTCTTTCCTTTTGGACGAACAAGAAAAGTATCTTTAGAATATAATTCTGCCGAAATTTTTTTTTTTGCTTTTGTATTTTTTTCGGCTATTTTATTGCTTCAACTCTTTCTTTACTCTGTTTTTTTAAAATTTAATATCTTTAAATATGACGATGCAGAATATAACAGTTTTGGTTATACCTATAATTTCAATTCGTGTTATTATAATGCTTTTTTAAATTTCTTATGTTTTTGTCAGAGAAAGTAGTAACTTTGTTAAGTCATGAAAAATTCTGGGAATTAGTCATGGAAAATCATGAATTTGAAAATCTAAAATGTAGCAGATACCCTGTATAAAAAAATTAAAAAAACGTACTTGGTTAAAACCAGCCAACCCTGGATATAGATTTTNTTTCAATTCGTGTTATTATAATGCTTTTTTAAATTTCTTGTGTTTTTGTCAGAGAAAATAGTAACTTTGTTAAGTCATGAAAAATTCTGGGAATTAGTCATGGAAAGTCATGAATTTGAAAATCTAAAATGTAGCAGATACCCTGTATAAAGTAATTTTTAAAAAAAATTAAAAAAAACGTACTTGGTTAAAACTAGCCAACCCTTTATATAGGTTTTTCGATTTAGTGGGTTTCCTTAAATGCTTGTGTTTTGATTTAAAATTTATTGAAACAATCACCTTTTTTTTTGTCAATTGCAGAGTATAAATGAAACACCATTTTATTTCAGCTGTCCATTTTATTAACAAAAACAGCTCGCTCATCACCTCAACTGTTGTTTTTTAACCGTAGCACTGATAAAAAATATCCACTGCTATTTTCACATCATGGATTAGAATCCTATTGTTAGGTAATTATTAAAGGAGAAAGTTTTTCATGGATAGATTTTTTTAACCCTGCCTTTTCTTATTAGCAAATTGCCAACTTTTATAATCAGCTAACAAAAATATATGTATTTCTTATTGTTGCCCTGCATAGAGTGAAACTTGAAACCCAAGTTACGTGAAGTTTAGAAAAAAAATTTATTTCACCAAATTTTTTCCACCTTATGAACTGATGTATAAATTTTATGTTAGAGAGTTGTGGTTATTAAATGAAATGAGACAATTGCTAGAGGACTTAGTATTTTTTTATTCATACCTTTAATATGCTCCTCTATCC